TAAATAATTTTCTTTCAGATTGCCGCGATATGGAATGTCAGGATTAAGAGAAATTTATAAAGTGTGTATTTTAAAAAAGGTGTGTTCAGTAAATTTTTGACACTTAATCCTCGCGCCGATTTTCATAACAAATTACCGCAATTTTCAAAGTTCAGAACATCGCTTGGTAAATTTTTCTGTTGCGTATAATACATCCGAACTGCGTTTTTTTCCCCGTTTCAGACTCAAAAAGGGGGGTGCGTATTTTACATCAATGCGTATTATACTCGGCCAAATACGGTATATAAGCCTTTTATAGCCTATTTATTCAGATGTCGTTAATAGCATTCAATTCTACTGATTTGAAATAATATTTTAATACCAAGCATCCTTTGTTTATTTTACCTTTGAAATTGATTTGAATTTTTTTCAGAATTATGCAATCCCCAGAAATAGCGATTTTCGGTATATTAAAAGTCAATATACATGTATGCTCCTTCGTAAAATAATCATGTATTTGCATTCATGAAAAAAATATTAATAAGAAGGTGTTGAACAATATTGGTCACATTAGCTGACACGAATGTCTTTTTAAACATCTCTTGTAAACCCCAGAAAGTAGCCTCCTATGCATTGGAAAAAATGAATAGTTCCGGTCAAAAACCTTTATATATTTATTTACAAAGTATATAAAATTTACTAGGCACAGGTACCAGAGTTGTCAAAATGGCCTGAGAGGAAATAAAAAAAAAAATTCTGAACAGAAAGGAAAATCCCTTTTCCATGTATGGAACTACTATTGAATAAAACCAACTCCGAGTCCGATCTTAAAAACATGGTAGTAGAAAATTAGAATTTTGCTGTTTTATACATTTTTTTAGCTCACCTGAGCTGAAGGCTCAAGTGAGCTTTTCTGATCACATTTTGTCCGTCGTCTAGCTGTCTGTCCGTCTGTCTAGCTGTCTGTCTGTAAACTTTTCACATTTCCGACTTCTTCTCAAGAACCAATGGGCCAATTTTAACCAAACTTGGTACAAAGCATCCTTGGGTAAAGGGGAGTTTAAATTGTTAAAATGAAGGGCCAAGTCCCCTTGCAAGGGGAGATATTCAATAAAAGACAAAAATAAGGTGGTGTCATTAAAAAATCTTCTTCTCAAGAACCACTGGGCCAGGAAAGCTGAAACTTATGTGGAAGCATCCTTTGGTAGTGTAGATATTAAACTGATAAAATCATGACCCCGGGGGGTAGGGCGGGGCCACAATAGGGAATCCAAGTTTTCCATAGAAATATATAGAACAAATCTTTAGAAATCTTCTTCTCAAGAACCACTGGTCCAGGAAAGCTGAAACTTATGTGGAAGCATCCTTGGGTAATGTAGATATTAAATTGTAAAAACCATGACCCCCAGGGGTAGGGCGGGGCCACAATAGGGAATCCAAGTTTTACATAGAAATATATAGAACAAATCTTTAAATATCTTCTTCTCAAGAACCACTGGGCCAGAAAAGCTGAAATAGTTGTGGAAGCATCCTTGGGTAGTGTAGATATTAAATTGTAAAAACCATGACCCCCAGGGGTAGGGCATGGCCACAATAGGGAATCCAAGTTTTACATAGAAATATATAGAACAAATCTTTAAAAATCTTCTTCTCAAGAACCACTGGGCCAGGAAAGCTGAAACTTATGTGGAAGCATCTTTGGGTAGTGTAGATATTAAAATGATAAAATCATGACCTTCAGGGGTAGGGCGGGGCCACAATAGGGAATCCAAGTTTTCCATAGAAATATATAGAATAAATCTTTGAAAATCTTCTTCTCAAGAACCACTGGGCCAGGAAAGCTGAAACTTATGTGGAAGTATCTTTGGGTAGTGTAGATATTAAATTGATAAAATCATGACCCCCAGGGGTAGGGCGGGGCCACAATAGGGAATCTACTTTTTCCATAGAAATATATAGAACAAATCTTTAAATATCTTCTTCTCAAGAACCACTGGGCCAGGAAAGCTGAAACTTATGTGGAAGCATCCTGGGGTAGTGCAAATATTAAATTGTTAAAATCATGACCCCTGGGGGTAGGGCGGGCCACAATAGGGAATCCAAGTTTTACATAGAAATATATAGATCAAATCTTTAAAAATGTTCTTCTCAAGAACCACTGGGCCAGGAAAGCTGACGTTTATATGGAAACATCCTTTGGTAGTGTAGATATTAAATTGTTAAAATCGTGACCCCCGGGGGTGGGCGGGGCCACAATAGGGAATCCAAGTTTTACATAGAAATATATAGATCAAATCTTTAAAAATCTTCTTCTTAGAAACCACTGGGCCAGGGAAGCTGAAACTTAAGTGGAAGCATCCTTGGGTAGTGTAGATATTAAATTGTTAAAATCATGACCCCCGGGGGTAGGGCGGGGCCAAAATAGGGAATCCAAGTTTTCCATTGAAATATATAGAACAAATCTTTAAAAATCTTCTTCTCAAGAACCACTGGGCCAGAAAAGCTGAAACTTATGTGGAAGCATCCTTGGGTAGTATAGATATTACATTATAAAAATCATGACCCCCAGGGGTAGGGCGTGGCCACAATAGGGAATCTAAGTTTTCCATAGAAATATATAGAACAAATCTTTAAATATCTTCTTCTCAAGAACCACTGGGCCAGAAAAGCTGAAACTTATGTGGAAGCATCCTTGGGTAGTGTAGATATTAAATTATAAAAATTATGACCCCCAGGGGTAGGGCGGGGCCACAATAGGGAATTCCAAGTTTTACATAGAAAAGTATAGAACAAATCTTTAAAAATCTTCTTCTCAAGAACCACTGGGCCAGGAAATCTGAAACTTATGTGGAAGCATCTTTGGGTAGTGTAGATATTAAATTGATAAAATCATGACCCCCAGGGATAGGGCGGGGCCACAATAGGGAATCTACGTTTTCCATAGAAATATATAGAACAAATCTTTAAATATCTTCTTCTCAAGAACCACTGGGCCAGGAAAGCTGAAACTTATGTGGAAGCATCCTGGGGTAGTGCAAATATTAAATTGTTAAAATCATGACCCCTGGGGGTAGGGCGGGCCACAATAGGGAATCCAAGTTTTACATAGAAATATATAGATCAAATCTTTAAAAATGTTCTTCTCAAGAACCACTGGGCCAGGAAAGCTGACGTTTATGTGGAAACATCCTTTGGTAGTGTAGATATTAAATTGTTAAAATCGTGACCCCCGGGGGTGGGCGGGGCCACAATAGGGAATCCAAGTTTTACATAGAAATATGTAGATCAAATCTTTAAAAATCTTCTTCTCAAGAACCACTGGGCCCGGAAAGCTGAAGTTTATATGGAAACATCCTTTGGTAGTGTAGATATTAAATTGTTAAAATCATGACCCCCGGGGGTGGGCGGGGCCACAATAGGGAATCCAAGTTTTACATAGAAATATATAGAACAAATCTTTAAAAATCTTCTTCTTAGAAACCACTGGGCCAGGGAAGCTGAAACTTATGTGGAAGCATCTTTGAGTAGTGTAGATTCTACAGTTTTAAAATAAAAAAGGGAAGGGGGTTGTTGGGCATGATAGGTATAGCAAGAGGGGGAATCTGGTAAAGATCTGCATCACCCAAGTTACTCAGGTGAGCGATGTGGCCCATGGGCCTCTTGTTAAAACATTTAATCCCATTATTTCAGACACTAGAGGTTTAGAATCATCAAATCTTGTAAGTTGCTGCATCTTAAGACCTTAAAACATATTTTTGAAAAAGTAGGTCATCATGACCTACTTTTTGAATTTTGCAGGCATTTGTTTTCAAATTGTTTAAAAGGCATATTTTGATTAACTTCAGAAATATGATCATCAAACTTGGTCAGTAGATGCATCTCAGGACTTCAAAAAAACGTTGACCAAAATGTAGGTCATGGAGACCTACTTTTGACATTTTATGGCTTTATATAAGTATCTCTGGTATTTATTGGCTTAGAGTCATCAAACTTTGTTAGTTGATGCATCATGGATTTTCAGAGAATGTTGATCAAAAAGTAGGTCACGGTGAACTACTTTTGAATATCTCAGGTACTTATTGGCTAAGAATCATCAAACTTTGTCAGTTGATGTATCTTGGGTTTTCAGAGAATATCGACTAAAAAGTAGGTCATGGTGACCTACTTTTGACAATCTATGGCTTTATCTAAGTATCTCTGGCATTTATTTGTTTAGAATCATCGAACTTTGTTGGTTGATGCATCTTGGGTTTACAGAGAATGTCGACCAAAAAGTAGGTCACAATGACCTACTTTTGAATATCGCAAGTACTTATTGGCTTAGAATCATCAAACTTTGTGAGTTGATGTATCTTGGGTTTTCGAAAGTCATCTACAAAACATTAGGTCACAGTGACCTACTTTTGACATTTTATGGCTATATCTAAGTATTTTGGGTACTTATTGGCTTAGAATCATCAAACTTTGTCAGTTGATGCATATTTGGTTTTCGGAGAATGTAGACAAAAAGTTGGTCACAGTGACCTACTTTTAAATATTTCAAATACTTATTGGCTAAGAATCTTCAATCTTTGTCTATTAATGCATCTTGAGTCCTCAGAAAACTTCAGTCTTAAAGTAGGTCAATGTGACCTACTTATGTTTTTTTGTATAGCTTTATTAAAATATCTTCAGTCCTAATTGGCAAAGAATCATCAACCTTTGTCAGTTGATGCAAGTTGGGTCTTAGGATACTTAGGGTTAGAGGCTTCAAATAGAAGTGATGGATTGTACAATTATCAGAAGAGCGATTCAAGGCCCTTGGGCCTCTTGTATTTTAATGCTTCAAACGGAAAATAAAGTGTTGATCAATCAAGTGGTATATCTACAGGGCCATTTTATGCATAAAGTGGACCGACTTCTTTGTTAAATATTTATCTACAGTGAAAATTTCAAGACTTGCGGTATTATATCCTTTGTTGAGGTGTGGTGAGCTTTGATTTATACCAGACCTTTACTTCAACTTTGCTTATATGTTTCAGAGATTGGATGATAGAATTGAGGAACTGAGACTTGCACAATCTTGTTTTCTGAAGTCCAAAAATGAATATGCCAGAATGGTAGGTGGTAAATTTGGTTTTACTAACACAAGAGATTCAGTGATAGTTGCAGACGATCAAAAAATCATCGTTGCTTAGCAGCAAAATTGATTGTCCCAATGTATAATTCTCTAAACATAATGCTAATCTTCTCTGCTCCTGGGTACTAAACAAACTAACTAGGTACATAGTTGTAAAAAGTAAGAATGTATCTTCCAGAATCTTCTCTGCTCCTGGATATTAAACCAATGAACTATATAAATAGTTATTGCCTGACGTCACGGCGTCAGGCACTACTAAGGATCAACATTTCCTAGGTGCGAAGCTAAGAGGTCACAGTTAGTCGGCAAAATTTTGTGCATGCTGATAATCATCAGATTTTGATACATGCGTTTCAGCAACAACAGTTAGCAGAAAAATAACCATATTGCTGATAAAATACATTGATGTATTTATTTTTTTTAGCTTTTTGCTAGCAGCTATTTATTTCATGCAATTTCTTATACGTACATGTCCGTTTGACCTTTTTTCTGCATTTCTTTACTACTGGATTAGTCCATTTCTCTTCTAGGTAAGGGGTGACACAATCATTTCGCGCCAAAATGTCACGTGTAAGTTTTGGCGCCCTTTTCCTGGACTATTCCATTGAATGGAAATTAAAAAAACAAGTATATACTGACAAAACGTCAGAAATACTCAAGCTGTAGAAAGTCAATTAGGAAGTGTCATTAATATCCTAAAATGGTATAAGATGAGGGCTACTGAGTTCAATCTTCTGTTGAATAAACTTGATGTACAAAATTCATATATTGAATTTAATTAGAAGAACCCACAAAATTCAAGTTTTTTGAAATATTTTTTTGTCTGATACATTTAGTATACTTCAAACTATGTAAGTTTTTTGTATTTACATGACGTACATCACATTCAATATATACATCAATCTATATAGCTTGCTACAAGCTTGTAGAAAAGCTTTTCAAAGTGGAGGGGGGGAGGAGGGGGGAGGGGCTCCAAGAAATCCATGTACTTACGGGTTCATCCATCGTTGCAAACCACGTCCAAAATGTCGATCCTCTCCTACTCCGGACCGTGGCTTAAGACGATGGGGTTCATATGGCTGAGCGGCATGTCCAATACATATTCCGTACGAATCCAAAAGAAGTTATATAGGTTCCGTTACCAAAACGTAGGATAAAACGAGAATTTAACATTGATTTTGTGCTACTATTTTACTGTCACTCAAAGTGCACATCATTTACAGGCCCGTGAAAAGCAATTTCAGTTGGGGGGTACATCCATACATTTTCTGGCCATGCATTGTAGAATTGTTAACGATGGGGTAACCTGCGTCAACTTTCAGAGTCTGCAGTGGACTCGTCCAAGGATGCTTTGTCGGCGATTTAAAAAAAGTTACCTGAGATTCATACGCAAATGAAAGCGCGAAATCTCTGTATAGAAACTGTTGCGGCTGCAAAGCTTCACTCATTGTTCATTCGCCATAGAATAGAATCCGATATTTAACACTTAATATCTTTGAATATACAGATGTTTTCAAGATAAGCTTCATTTTTGTTTCTAGAAATATTTTTATCTACAAAAATAATGTATTTTTGTGTTTTTAAACTGAGTTAATCGATGACCTAGCATCGTTTTAGATTACTCAAGCCCCTCTAGGGCTTGAGTGAAAACTGCATGAATTATATAAAGTACGTTCTTTTTTTTGTCGGAATCCTGGTCGAGCTTTGGAAAAAAAAAACATATCCGTGATATTGTGAAATGAGTTAGAAGTTGCATCATTTAAAGTAATAAAAACGAAACAAACAAAAATCTCTTAAGAAGATGTACATGTACTGGCCAAATATACATCTGATCATACCCCCCGCCCTTCCAAGGGGTTTCCTCCTACAAAAACAGTATAGACCTATGAAAGTGTCCTCTCACATTTCAGGATTGAGAAAGTTTTTTACTTTTTTGTTGGTACAAATATTTTTGATGTGGACCCCTCATCCCTGGGAAAAACTTCCTGAATCCGCGCCTGTCGTCATTCACATATCGCCGTCAAGTTTTTTGGGTCATTTAAGCATATAGAGCTTTCTTTATTCCAAGTTTCTTAAACAATCTTTAATGCTCTAGCATACCCAAAAAACTATTAAACACATTCTGCATGTCAGTCATACCGTTATGATTCCCAATTTCTTGTAGTTATCATATTTTCAGCTGTACTCTTCCTCAAATCCCATGCTGTATGCAGTTGTATCTAATTTATGTAACCTTTACACATAGCCATGCTTTTCAGCATTAATCAATTACGTTAGTTAATTCCCTTATTTATTTCATCCTCTAAAACCATTTTTAGACTCGCAGAGTGAGGTGTTCATTTTTTCGTCGGGTTCGAATCTACAGCGGGAAATGTACATGCTTTCATTTTTTATTTGAGTAACAAAGAATATATATGTTTTATATAAAGTGTGTTCTTTTTCCATTGCTCCAGTGAGTATCATACAGTTGACTTAAGATGAGTACATGATGTTTTGTGCAACATCTTCATAATTTACTGTAGTGAAATAATTTAACACCCCCCTCCCCCAATGTAAACATTTATAAATTATCGTGCTTATAGGTTCTATAGATATTGATTGCATTAGTCAGGCAAGCTTTTTGAAAAGCTGTTACATGTGATGAGGAAGAGTTCCTCTTCCCAATTTGTGAATTTCGTGGCCCCTGGGTCAGGGGTTCTGATGTTAGAGTGGGGCTCTAATAATTATATAGGTAAAATGCATGAATTCCTTGAAAATCTTTTTCTTTGCTCTTGGGTATTATGCCAATAATTTAAGTACATATTTAATATGAAGAAAGGTGCCCCTTTCAAAATGGTTAATTTCAGAGCCCCTAGGTCAGGAGTATCAGGGGGTGGCAGGTGGGGGTTTACATAGTCTGAAAATAAATTAATGCTTTGAAATCTGCTCTTTAGTAATAATCAACCATTTATGAAGAAATAAATTTTTTTATAAAATTTCCAAAATTTTGAAATATAAGGCCCCAGGATCAGTGGTTCTTGTGGTATGGGATGCACAACTGGTTATAAAAACAAAGTGGAAATGCATTTTCTCTTTGTTACTCTGATCTACCTATGGGTATTAAGTAACCAGGTGACCGTTTCACTAAAAAATCGTAAACGTAAGATAACGTTTACGATTGCTAGAGGTGCACGTAAACGAGCATTTCACAAAACTGAGCACTTACGACTGGTGAGTTACAATCAACATATTGGAACTCTTCTGACAAAGGAGGTGTATTTGTATTTGTTTGAGAGCGAGAGAAGCGACAGAGGGAAAAAAGAAAGAGATCATTAGGAAATAAAAATATCATCAGAAAGAGATCATTAGGAAATAAAAATAAAGTTACTTCATTATTTGTCTTAGTCTTCAAAATAAAGAAAGAAAGAGAGAAAAAACAAAAATTTAATGGAAAATACATGTAGATCACTTAAGGGGGCCGTCTATAGTTTTATTGTGTGAAAACTACATTAGCGAAACTCTTCATTTTTATACCATATATAACTTACATCAACTTCAGTGTACATGCAAAGTTTGGAGGAAATCTACCGTCCAGGTATTTTTGAGGGACCGTCTCAAAATACAGGTACATTTACTATAGGATTATATAGGAAAATGCCAATTTTTAGCAATTTAAAGCAAATTATACAAATACTACAATAGACATTTTGTTCAAACTATAATATTTGATGAATAATACTATATTATACAATGTATGTAAGAAACACAAAATTCTACCGTCTTGTTACCAGAGGGGGCATCTCAAAATGCAAAAAAATAGCAAATTTTACTATTTTTATAGAGTATTACAAAATATGACGTATACAATGGATTCACATGAAAACATGATAAAAATACTGGAGATATTCTCAAATTTCTATGATTTAAATTTCAAGAGTGTATGTTAATTACTTTTTCTTTAATAATATTTTTATTACCCCTTTAAGAGCTAGAGATTATCATAACGTCAAAAACACACTGCAACGACATCAACCTACCTATCAATTGCAAAATCGGTTAAAAAATCAGTTATATCAAACTGTAATTACATTTTTATACCTATAATTTCTTAATTTTGTTTGATTTTAATAAGTAAGCGAAAAAGATTGCTTTAAAACAGTAAATACGCTTCATTTTACCGTGATGCGCGAAATATTGCGCAATGGAAACTATAGTCGGCCCCCTTAAAAGAAAAATGTAATTGCGTAGTTGTTGAATTTTTTTATAGATTTAGACTAGTAGTTAGTTTCCACTGGAAATGACAGAAATTTTGTTTAGGTCTGTTCTCAGATGCCTGCTGGGATCAGCCAGGGGCATGGTTTTCTCACTCTCAGATGCCAGCTTGGATCAGCCCAGGGCATGGTTTCTCGCTCTCAGATGCCTGCTGGGATCAGCCCCGGGCATGGTTTTCTTGCTCTCAGATGCCTTCTGGGATCAGCCCCGGGCTTGGTTTGCTGTTTCTTTGATGCCTGCTAGGATCAGTCCCGGGCATGGATATTTGTTCATTGATGCCTGCCGGGATCAGCCCCGGGCATGGTTGGGTTACTTGCACTCCTGGGATCAGCCCGGAGTGCCATCATTGTATGTTAGCCTCAGGCAGATTTTCAAGATACTATTGCAGATAAGTCAATATTAGATTCAATGTAGATTTTTTATTTTTCGCTAGTGGTAAGAGTTGTTAAAGAAGGAATGAGTAGCCCCCAAGACTCCAAATTGTTAAATATTGTAATGTCGGTGTATGTATAGAATGTTACAGTTATATTACAGCTTAATTGTTTTTATATGTAGTTGTATTGATTTTTGAGGTCGTAAAGACCCAATAAATTCTAAACTGTACTCTTTGGTTAATTGTTTATAAATTGAAATTTAATAGAATTAAATTATTATTCATAAACAATGTATTTTCTATCCAACTTTTTCCCTGTTTATTTATTGTTACTATTAAGTCTGTTATATAACATGGAATTTGCATAATTCTGTTGTGGGGTAGCATTTCTAATTATAGAATATTTGGTCAGATAGGGGAGATGATATTGACCA